TAGTCTGGAAATACAAACACTCAGATGTCATTTTGAAGTAAACACAGACATTTGCTGTCTTTTGAATATAATATATACATTTTGACAAAAATATGTTCCGAGAACGTTTTGTTAGCATGCACATTGTTATTATTTCTGAATGTTTCCAAACATTCAAAACGTCCCTTTTTTTCTTGATTGTGTGAACGTTCCAGAAAACATTAAAGAAATGTTGCATTTGATTATTTTTGCAAACATTATTGGACCATTACTTTTTAATGTTCTCTGAATCATCTGAAACTAGTACGTAACATTTAAAAAACAACAACAAAAACTCAAATGAATCAGAAAAACATTCCGTGAATCATGTAAATAAAGTAAATAATGCTTTTGTGCTCAAGTTTTGAGAATGTGATTAAAGACCTCAGCACTTTGAACAGATATTCTATGAATGTTACTGGAAGAACGTTTGTTCATAACTTTGATTTGATTTGATTTGATATTTTGCATTTGTCTAATTAAAAGCAGTTTTAGTTATGAATTTAATCATATTATAATATATAAAATATTTATATATAAAAATATATCTATTTATTTTTTTCAGCTTTCACTGACATTTTTTTACCAACATCATCCTAATCATAACTACCAAAAAAATTCATTAATTGTCAGGATTTTAAGCCTTAAAGTGTCAGTTTGACTATAATGTCACAAAAATATATTTTATTGTACCTAAATGAAATAGATTTATGAAAGGGTGAAATCTTTAAATTCCTATAAAAATTAACATTTCTTGTAAATTTAACAGCCAAACCAAAAAAAGGGGGAAAAAACTATTATTTAGTGACAATTATCCTCCTCATAATTTTATCTAATTGGGAAAATTACATAAAATGGTTTACATAAAATAGTTTGTCCAAACCTCCGGAGATCACAGTAAATATTATATGTGCTGTTTATCTGAGGTGACATTATACATCATATTTTATAAATGTGAGCATACTTTGTGATCTATCAGAGTCAGGGTTATTATTGTTAACTAACCACACACACACACACACACACGCACACACACACACACACACGCACAAAACTATTTTATTGTACCTAGAGTGAAATAGATTTATGAAAAGGAATATTAAAATTCCAATAAAAACAAAGGCTGTTTTGTGACAATATTTCTTAATAATTTTATGTTATTGTCTTTTTGAATTTTTTGAAATACTAAAATATGGTTTATTTCCATATTAAATGTATTCAGATTTTAAATCCCATAACTTTCCACATGCTCTTAGGTTTGGACCTCTCTGTGTACAGTATATTGATGATGAGCACTGTATGACTGAGTTTCAGCACTCATCATGAGACTTTGTGAGGAAGGTGTCTGACCTCCAGGGTTTTGTAGAAGATGCTGCTTCCGATCTGAACCACCTCCAGGTTTTGCTCCTGCTCGTTCCGGGCACATTTAATGTAGGTCATCCAGCTGCGCTGGTCCTCCTGACTGGCATCGATGAAGCAGCGCACTGTGCCGTCCTCGTTAAACACCTGAACACACACACATCTCTTCATTAAACCACTTCATTTGAACCAGTCACATGCAGAATAATGAGCCAACACACACATACACACACACACAGACACACTCACACACACACACACTCTCTCACACACACTCTCTCTCACACACACACTCACACACTCTCTCACACACACTCTCTCTCACACACACAC